GTTGAGACTTTTTCAGTCACCAACTAGACTGAATTTTGCAATCATGATAGTTCATAACGGGTGTCGCAAGTTATTGTATACAGGCAATCTCGCTTATTTGACATGATAATTGAAGAATTCAAAAACTGCATTAAAAAAATTATTACATTTTACAGTTCTCTGGGAGCTATTCCTCACTTTTTATTTTCAAGTGGCTCCCCATATATTGAAAAATGTAGATTTTGACATGTAGCGAAAATTACGTGTCATCGACCGAGTAGTTCATTTTTCATATTTTTCAATGCAAAAACTCAACGTCTTAGTCGAAATTCAGAATACAATATTATCAAAAGTTTTTCCCATATGATGCCGACTTTATTGATGCCACGACTTTACGTGCACACTGTCGTATTTCACACATTATTTCGCGACGGTGTCGTGATATAACGTAGGAGAATGAAAATATTGATCACTTCGCATATTGTTATCAATGTGCAGATCAGCAAATCTTGTCATTTCTAACGTTTGTATTTCGTGATTTTTATCGTGTCATTATATCGTCTCATATACAATAGGTACACCTAGTATGACTATAAAGGGTGTCCCGAAATTGCATTGAAAGATTTCAATCACATATTCTAGGATAAAAACAAGGGAAAAAAGTTCTTATAAACATAAGCACAGAAATGGCCCACTAGGGAGAAATAGCCATCTGGAAGAGGACACGAGATTATGGTTTTTTGTGAATATTTTCCGAACCCTCTGTGATGAAATATTGTACATGTATATTACTTTCCATGCCCGATCCAAAATGTCAAGAATTATTTGAAATTTTGATCAGAGGCGTGAGAAATAGAAGGGGCTAGGGACATTTCTTTCCCCAACTTTTTTTTTATGCAATTTTTGGCAGTTAAACAAGGAAATATGAAAAAAAATCAACATCTTCACACAGAAATGATACTCTTGTTTTAGTATCACCTTTTTCGAAATAAATCGATTTCAAAGTTCTGCTGCGTGATAAAAATAGTGCTTTTTCCTCAATTGGTTACCGAATTTTTTTCAAAAATTATGGTTTGATGGTAAATACTAAGGAAGTGCTAGAGGAGCAGGGTGCGTTTTTTTATCTTGCCTATTAAGCAAGATCATCTTGCCTATTAAGCAAGATCATCTTGCTCAACTCATTGAGCAAGATAGGCACATGTTTCGCTAACTATGTTAGCAACTTAACGGAGAAGATTAAAACTAAATATCCTATTCTAGTGTGCTGCTTATATACTAGGTATATGTTCACCCAACTGTGAAAAATACTAACCGTCAAGTTAATGTTTGTCATGGTTGAGTTCACATGTTCATCTTAATTTTTATTTCACTAAACTATATAGAGGGCTATATATGGAATAGGTCCATTATCCTTATTCATTACTCTATTACTATTCTTAAATATCTCCAAGCTTTCACATATGCGTCTAGTTTTCTAATGTTATTAACTTGCTTAACTAATTTGAGGTTAGTAATAAGTGTGTTATGATTGTAACATATGTTACGAAAAGGTCAAAGGGTTGAATCTGACCGAAGGTGAAATCCTTATATTATTTGATGTTTCATCACTTTTCCCAAGTGTACCCATACCAACAACTTTGGAATACTTAAAGGAATCACTCGAATATAACAACCTAGATCCAGATATTATTAAAGAATTGGTTGATCTCACTAACCTCTGCATGAGCCAAAATATTTCTCAATATAAACAAGAATTTTTTATCGCCTTTCCTGGCTGAACTGTTCATGAATCGATTTGAAACGAATGCAAAAGAAAAATTCGAGTATTTCCCTAGGGTTTGGATTAGATATGTTGATGATATTTTTGCTATTTTTGATACAGAAACCACAGATATAGATAACTTTATTTCAAAATTGAATAACTGCTTCCCCTCTATCAAATTCACTTAAGAATGCAAAAATCATGGCAAATTACCTTTCTTAGATGTACTTGTGATCAAAAATAGCGAAAACAACTTAGAATTTAATGTCTTTAGAAAAGAAACTAACACATTTAGATACATACCTAATGACACCAATCACTGTTTTTAGCACAAAATGGCAAGTTTAAATTTTCTAGTACACAGATTGATTTTATTTCCTCTGAGCAAAGAAAGATTCAATGCTGAAAGAGGTGTTGTTTATAAAGTGGCTGGCGTCAATGGGTATGATACCAAAATAATAGATAAATTAATACGTAGACATAAATTTAAGTTAACAGTTCGAAATTCTACGACTTTTCAAGTGGATAAAAAGAACTCTAGAAGAATCCCAATCCCGTTCAATCCCAAGTATACGAAAGGACTTGATAAGGTTTCCAAAGACTTAGGTTTTAAAAGCGTTTATCAGTCTGGGTCAAAATTAGGCAATTTATTAGGCAATCCGAAAGATAAAGTGGACACACTTGAAAAGTCGGGAATATATATATATATAGGCCAAACCAGGCGACTCATAAAAACAAGGTTCAAAGAACACATAGCCCATTTAAAATATGGTAGGTTGGATAAATCTTGTGTAGCCGAACATATGTTCAATCACAATCATAACACACATATTACTAACCTCAAATTAGTTAAGCAAGTTAATAACATTAGAAAACTAGACGCATATGGAAGCTTGGAGATATTTAAGAATAGTAATAGAGTAATGAATAAGGACAATGGACCTATTCCATATAGTCCTCTATATAGTTTAGTGAAATGAAAATTAAGATTAACATGTGAACTCAACCATGACAAACATTAACTTGACGGTTAGTATTTTTCACAGTTGGGTGAACATATACCTAGTATATAAGCAGCACACTAGAATAGGATATTTAGTTTTAATCTTCTCCTGAAGATGCTAACATAGTTAGCGAAACTCGTGTCGAGGCGTTAAAAAAAATCGGTTTGGTTATTGGTAAAACAGTGTAGTGTAAACTCAGGAGCTCTATATCTTCTATTGGTTTTTTGACGAAAATGTATTTTTTCATATCGATATCGTTTTGGTTTTTCGTCTTCTATCATCTATGTGTGCTACATATCAATGTTCGGTGAAACCATCAGCAATAATCTCTCATGGAAAAATCATGTCCGATCCATCGCAAAAGCTGCTTCACAAAAACTCGGATTCTTGTTCCGTGCGGATATCTACTTTACACCTTAACAGCTTCTCATGATCTTTGTGGCACAGATATGGCCAGTTTCAGAATACTGTTCTCATGTATGGGGTTCAGCACTTAAACATACGCTGCATGATGCTCTCAGATCCCATCCAGAACGAGCCATTCGCCTGGTGGGTGATGCCACACTCACTAACTGTTTGACCTCATTAGAACACCGTAGAAAAGTCGGCGAACTTTCATTTTTCTAAAGATACTTCCACGAGAAATATTCCGCAGAATTTTTTGCTTTAATTCCATAAGTAGGAATACCAGTCAGACGAACTCAACATGCCTAGTAATCACATCCTTTTGGTCGTTTACCTTGAAATATGTCGAACAACACTCTTCCAGAACTCGTTCGTCTATAGAGCGGCGAAGATTTGGAATTCTTTGCCAATGCCTGTGTTCCCAATAAGAACCTATACTTAACCTCCGAAAGTTCAGAAAAAACACCTATACCTCCTCTCTCTATCATCCCTAGGTACTCACGATGTTCCACCATCATTTGTAGGCATTTCCTCTCGTGCGCTCCAAGAGATGAAAAAAGATTATATTGCTTATTGGGCAAATCATCTTGCTTATTAACCAAGAATATCTAGCTTAATAAGCAAGATGAAATAAACGCATACTGACACTCCAGCGCTTCCGTAGAAAAACCCCTTCTTTCAATATCTACTTTTGATTTAAAATATGGAGGTTGTAATAAAAAAACGTATTGAAAAATAATATGGTAGGTATGGGTACCCTATATATAAGGAAAGTACTATTTTTTATGACGCAGCAGACTTTCAAAATCGACTCATCTCGAAAATGGTGAGTGCTATCGAAACTAAACAGGAATACCTTTTTCAAGTAACAAAAATAGTGCTTTTTTCTCATAATAGGGTTCAAAATTTTCCCGAAATTTATTTTTCGATAAAGAATACTTACCCTTCTTTCAACATCTACTTGTGATGTTTGACTCGAAATATGAGAGGAACAATGAAGAGAATTATTCGAAAACTAGTATGATCGATACCCAACTAAGAAAAAAGTACTATTTTTATTACGCAGCAGACTTTTAAAATCGATTTATTTCAAAAATGGTAAGTGCTATCGACACTAAACAAGAGTATCATGTTGAGGTAAAAATGATTAAATTTCCATATTTCCTTGTGAAACTGCCGAAAATTTATTAGAAAAATAAGTTGGGGACAGAAATGTCCCTAGCCTCAACTATTTCCCACGCCCTGATCAAAATGTCGCACAATTCTCAACTCTAGATTCTTAACTCCAGATATCGGGCATGAAAAGTAACATACATGTACAGAATTTGTTATCTCAACACAGAGGGTTTCGGATATATTTACAAAAAAAACATCATCTCGGGTCCTCTTTCAAATGGCTCTTTAACTCTCCAGGGGGCAGTTTCTGGGCTCATATTTATATGTTTTTTTTATGTTCTGGTTCCCACGAAAAGGGATATCCTGTATTGTTCAGAGAACATCGTGAGAACCAAGGAAAATAAGGTAGGAATTGGTGTTGTACTCAAATTTCTGGAGGTTATATGCCTTGGGGAACACCTCCCTTGGCAATTTGTTCCAGAGCCTCGCAGTTCGTTGGATGAACGAGTCTTTGGAAAGGGATGTTCTGCAGGTCTCCAAAGTGACCACGAAGGGGTGGGAAGCCTCAACTCGGTATATGAACGTTTTTCACTATTTTTGTTCCTAGAATCTATGGTTGAAATCTTTTCACGTAATTTCGGGACACCCTGTATATTATATCCATCAAATAATAATTTGGACCTACCTTCATCAGTCACTTCGTTTTTTTTCGAAATTTATTTCTATGGACTCACCAGAACTCGCTACACTAATCAAAATGAGAAAAACACACGCAACTTTTTCAAAACTGCACAAATACATTTTTCAAAGAGTAAGTCTCGAAGTGATTCAAGAAGAATCACCACTGCATGTACGCTCGTTCAGATATGTCAAAGGTCACTTAGACATGATTTCCTTATCTTTTGTTGGGTAATTTCTAGTTTTATTTTGAATGAGATATAAGAGAAGATACCAGGAATAAATTCATAGGAAGCTGCTCATGACGTACCAAGGTCAGATATGCAACCAGGATCGCGTTGAATATTCAGGGTGTTATTTAAGTATGCAGCAAAGCTTCAAGGGGTGATTTTTCAAGTGAATCTAAAGACGTCACGCCACTGTTTCTTTCGAAGCTGGGCGAATTAAAATATATAGGTATAGCAAAAATATCTTCTCAGACAGCACAGAATATTCTATGAATATTCTGACAACATTCAAATATACTAATTTCAGAATATCCTTATGGAATATGTTCTTAATTAAAATGATCATAGAATATTCTCATCCGGCAGCGAATGTTCTATGAACATTCAATTTGACATATTCTCAGAATATTCTTTTTGAATGTTCTGAGAATAGTATTCTTGAATATTCTGAGAATAATCAGAACCGTATTCTTGTATCAATATTTATAATGTTTACCCTGACATAACCTATCATTCTCTAGCCTCAATGCTAATTATCCCACTATAATTCAGTGTTGTCATCTTCCTATTATCATCAAATGGTTCGTAGCGAAGTAGTTGTGAGGTTTCAGGTTCGTAAAAATTCATTCACAAGATAATGGGTTCGCATCTCCACCGGAGCAAGTTTTTTTTAATGTTCTTCATTCTCCTTCAATATACTAGGAATATTCTCTGAATATTCAGTAGGTACAGCCCATTTCAAATGTTCATGAAACATCCCTAGAATATTTGAATCATATATTGACAATATAAAATAAATATTCTTTGAATGTTCTATAAATGACATTGACACAGCACCAGACGTCTTGAAGACGTCCATTTTATGTCCATATGATGCCTGAACGTCCACAGGCATAAAACCGACGTTTTGAAGACTTCTTTTTCAGGACGTCTTAGAGACGTCCAGAAAAATATGTCTTATAAAAGTCTCAATGAAGTCAAAGTTTATTAAACAGTTGAATTCAGGTGTTTGCAAAATGAGATGAACAAAAATGTGAAGAACCTTTAATCTGTGATTGGCTATTTTCCTAATTTGTATCTTAAATGGGTTGGGGGTAGAAATTATTCACGAAAAGTTTCGCCATATCTACTATAGTCGAATAGAGCAATAACTAAAACAACGAATTCCTCCTAGAGTTACTCATGATTAGTTTTCTGTTTCATTCAATCTATTAGAATAGGAATTTGACAAAAAAGTCAGTTCTCAACCAATTTTAAAGGAATCAGGCTACTTTCCTTGATGAGTCTCTTTTCTTGTCCATAACGTTGAGACTGAGTGAGACAGAGCTTCGACGGTTTCGCGATCCGCTCCGATTCCCGTGCTCTGCGACCTGTGACGATCCCTAATAACACACTTATGTCCCATGGATATCCTTAGGACTTCCTGTCGGGACATTCAGAGGACGTCCATAGGACGTTCGAATTTGGTACCGTGGACGTCCATTGGACGTCTGTGGGACGCACAAATGTCCCACTTGAGGACCAACTAGGGACGTCCTTGAGGGATGTCCCTGGGACAACTATCGAATACCTAAATCCTACAGTATTCCTCATCAAGCACTACAGAGAACATCCATAGGACAACCTATCAGCAACGCTGAGGAATATCAATTGGATGTCCCAGGGATGTACGAATTATTCTTGAATTTGAATTTTTCTGGGTCCCTCTAGGACCAGATCTTGCACAACTGATTTGGATATCCAGTTGAGTTGATGGTTCGTAGAAGGTCCCCAAGAACCCTAACAACACGAGTACGTCCCAGGGACGTCCTTCATTTTCTACGAGGACGTCCCTGGGATATCCTGTGTCGGGACATGGTACATACTAGGGACGTCCCAGGGACATCTGCTTTCCACAAAAAGAGGCACCCTAGGGATGTCCTTTTGGTACGTCTCTGGGATGTACCAAGTACGAAGAAAGGCTATCCCTAGGACGTCCCAAGGATATCCCAGGGACATAATTCTTCGACAAAAGGAAAAAAAATGTAGGTCGAGTACGGATTGAACCCGGGACCTGTGGCTTATCAGGCACGCATCTTACTCCATTGGCTATTGAGCCTCCTGAAGATTTATAAACAGATTTATAAACAGGACTTAACTACAGAAACCTGAATAAATACAACTTTGTTAGGATTTGGGTATAATTATTATATCATTCTTGGGTGTTCAAAAATGAGGGGCATTATGCATGTACGATTTCTGTTTGCGAAAAATGGTAATTTGTTAAGAAGTTCTGAAACTTTATTCTTTATTTTCATTACGATTATTTTCCGGAAGAAAAACAAACATTTTCAAAAGAATGCAACTTACTACTTTGATGAAATTCAATGACTCTGATGTGAATGGATATCAGATATTCCAGGGACACGAATAGGATAACCTAGGGATGTACCGGGCGCGACATTCCCTGGATGTCCCAATCATGTCCTTGTACCGCGGGACAAAAAAGGGACGTACCTATATAGGACATTCCTGTGTTGTTAGGGAAGTGTCCCAAGGATGTCCAATGGACTTACGTGAAGGACATTGACGAGGAGTACAATATTTTTCATAATAAAAAATATTGGTAGATATCAGTTTTATAGTCATGATATATATATTTTATAGTTAAATAATGACGTCTTGGATACGTCAGGTTTTATATAACGGACGTCTTGAAGACGCTTCTGGGACGTCTACAAGACATGCCGAACGTCTTGGGAGACGTCTTAAAGACGTCTATTTATGTCGTATTGGGCGTCTTGAAGACGTCTTTTGGACGTCTTTAAGATTTAACTGGACGTCTTGAAGAGGTCTCGAACGCCTCGGATCGACGTCTTGAAGACGTCTTTGAGACGTCTACGTGCTGTGTGTGGTGCTATCTGGGTTTATCTCCAATACATTTTTCAGCAACTATGTCTCGGAAGGATTAGGAATTGTATCTCAGAGCAATGAGATAAGTTGCTTTAAAGCGGCTTATTCCCAGACAGCACTGGATATTCATAGAATATTCTCTAAATATGCTAAAAAGGAGGAGTAGATTCCGAATATTCATCGATTATTCCTAGAATATATACATGCCTCTGGAACATCTAAAAGGAATATTCCAAAGTGAATAGTCGGACATGTTCAGGGAATATTCAGGTATGAATCTTCCAGGAATATTCCCAACTGAATATTCTCTGTTGTATATTCATGAAATATACCCAACTGAATATTCTGTGCGGTATATTCATGAAATATACCCAACTGAATATTCTGTGCGGTATATTCATGAAATATTCTCAACTGAATATTCTGTGGTGTATATTCATGAAATATTCCATGAATATTTCGATGTTTCTCAACACATGAATACCATTTATTAATTCAGAGATGTGAGTATCGAACATGAATTAGATGTAAGGGGATTTTGAATCAAAAAGGGTTTATGTATAACATTATTCAATTCGATTACTGGCCTAGTGGTCAAGGCGTTGCTGTGGTAGTCTTGAGGTCACGACCCTAGGTTAGGTTAGGTTAGGTTCCATGTGAGTGGGGCGAACACCTCCCCTCCACTGCGACCCCAGATGGGTCTATTGTGGCTCACCCCTAGAGGTTACAGTTCACCGTACAATCCACATCTTTTTACAAAGTTCATGGTTGAATTGGGTGAGATTTGTCTGAAATCGATAGGTTCTAGGTTGGTAAAGCCAAATGTGTCGAACCTTAGTCTTTCTAAGCTAGAGCATGAGCATAATATGTGTTCAGCCGTTTCGTCTTCCACACAACAGAACCGACAGTCCGTTTGTTGGTTCAGACCCATCCTTCCCAGGTGGTATCTTAGACGACAGTGTCCCGTAAGCAGTCCAGTCAGAATTCGCAGGTTACCCCTGCTCCATTCTAGGATCTGCCTGGTTATTTTTTTCGATGGTTTAGGCAGGAACGCCTTCGAATGGGTTAATCCTGGTAATTCGGACCAGTACGTGAGTGTTTTTCCCTCCGCCCAGCCCGAGATAGTTGTTTTCGCCGCACTTGCGGTGACCCCAAAATATGGTTCTGGTCCTATGAACACAGATTCGGTTCCCTGTTTGGCGAGGATGTCGGCTTTCTCGTTACCCTCCACCCCCTGGTGTCCAGGCACCCACAGCAAAGTGACTCTGTTGTTAGCACCCAGGCTTTCTAGGGATTCAATGCAGCTCCATACAAGCTTGGAATTTATCTTGCTGGAGCTCAGTGCTTTAAGAGCAGCCTGACTGTCTGATACAATACTGATATTTTTGTTTACTAGAGGTTTATTCGACAACTCTCTAGCACACAATTCAATTGCGAATACCTCCGCCTGAAAGATTGTAGCATATTTGCCGAGATTGACGGAAATTTCCGTCTTCGGTTTTCTGCTGAACACACCGGCTCCCACTCCACGAGGGGTTTTCGAACCATCTGTGTACATTACGTGTTCGGTCTCTGGGAACCGGACTGATCCGCTTGCCCATTCGTCTCTCTTCGGGAAGAGGACTTTGAAAGACTTTTTCACGTGTGTCTGAGTGGCCAACATGTCGGAAACCATTCCTAGAGTTTGGTGATTTTTTGTTTCACACAGTATCCCGGAGTGGTCCAGCAGTCGCCCCCCTCTGATTTGATTTTCCAATGACAGGAATCTGTAGGAAACCATCCTGGCTTCCCTCTCCAAGACAATGTGGAGGGGAGTGAGGTTCAGGAGGTTTTCCATCGCTGCCGTTGGAGTAGAGGACATCGCCCCTGTAATGGCCAGGCACGCCAGCCGCTGGAGACCAGCAAGCTTTGCCCTGGCTGTTCCCTGCAGACCTTTGGTCCACCAGACTACCGAGCCATACGTGACCATTGGTTTTACCATTGTTTGGTAAATCCAGTAAATCTGTTTGGGGTTCATTCCCCATGATTTGCCGCATACCCTTCTGAGGTTCCAGAGGGAAAATCTGGCTTTGTTAATAGTTTTTGCCATATGGGCGTTCCAGGTGAGTCTTTTATCTAGGGTGACCCCTAGATATTTCACCCCCGTCGCAAACGGAATGCTCTCTCCATATAGGACAGGCTGACGAAGCTTATCTAGCTTTTGCCTTTTGGTAAAAGGGATAATTACAGTTTTCCGGGGGTTCACAGACATCTGCTCCCTCTCGCACCACCTGTACACAGTATTGAGGGCTTCTTGTAGGCCGTTTGAGATCGTCGCTTCAAATTTCCCTCTTACTATTAGGACGAGATCATCTGCATAGCATTGGAAATCCACCCCCTGCGTGGAGAGATCGCTCAGCAGAGAGTCAACCAAAAATGACCACATAAGGGGGGAAAGTACCCCGCCCTGTGGACAACCTTTTGCCGCCCTAAACCTGATCGACCCTCCATGCAGTGATGATATGACGTACCGATTTCCAATCATGGTTTTGACCCAGTTGCATATTTGCCTGCTGATTCCTCTACCTTGCATTGCCATGTAGAGTGATTGTGGTAGGGCGTTATTGAACGCTCCTTCTATGTCTAGGAAGGCTGCCAGCGCAATTTCCTTATGATCTAAGGAATGGCTGATCTTTCCTACAAGATTGTTCAGTGCTAAATCCGTTGATTTGCCTGTTTGGTAGGCATATTGATGGGGATTTAGGGGATGCTCCCTTAGATTCCCCTCTCTAATATGCCTGTCTAGAATTCTTTCTAGAGTTTTTAATAGGAACGAGGTAAGGCTGATCGGTCGGAAGGATTTGGGTAGGGAATGATTCGCCGTACCCGATTTGTGTATATACACAACCCTCGCTGTTGACCAGCCTAACGGAATGTAGCTCCACGCCAAACTCGCTCTATATAATTTAACCAGGAGAGGTAGTAAAACTTCTCTGCCCTTTTGTAAGAGGGCAGGAAAAACTCCGTCCTCTCCCGGAGACTTGAATGGGGAGAAACAATTCACCGCCCATTCCACTGACTCTGGGGTGACCACCATTGAGGCATTCTTCCAGTCCTCCTTTTTTGGTCGTATTATCGATCCCATTGGACCCTAATAACACAGGCCATCCAATGGATGTCCATTTTAGGTCCAAAAAAGTTTCGGATATCCATGGACAAGAAATGTACATCCATTGGATGAAGCAAAATGCCTATCCAATGGAATACCACCGACACTATTCCAAAGGATATCCAAAAAAGTTCCGGATATTGATGGACATGAATTGTACATCCATTGGATAAACATAAATTCTCATCCAATGGATTACTAAGTGACACCTTTCCAATGGATATCCATAATGTATCAATCGGCCTGAGAGAATGTAAATGCCATCGCCATCTTTGTTTCGTGTTCTCTATTGTCTCTGATGTTCGTCTTGTATTCCGTACCTTGAGTCGTTCGTGTTTACTGTTATTGTATGCAGAAGTTTGTATCGTTTGAGGCAGATTCATGCAGCGTATTAGTGAACTAATTATTCGAGTCGTCCCTTGAGTCGTTCGTCGTGTTTTCTGTTATTGTATGCAGAAGTTTGTAGGTATCGTTTGAGACAGATTCATGCAGCATTTGAGGTTATGTGTAATGATTACTTTTTCAATTTGTTCACATATTATTTTATGAAAAGTGTGTGTGTGTGTGATCTCTCATTTATTATTTTCAAAGAAATCATGCATCGTTATATTTGAAATATTCAATAGTGATTTATTTCTCTCAATTAACCCAATTAAGTGAAATTGTGATTGAATAATGAACGTTGTATGAATCAACCATTTAAGCTGTACAAGTGAATACTATAGGTAAATGTATCATAGCAGGGCTAAAACAGCTCTACTTTAGACTCTTGGGACAACATTATAGAAGAAAAAATATATTCAAAATTCATATAGGGGGAGAGTTTTATTTATATTGCCCAAAACTTATACATAAAATGTATAATTCATGTACAATATTTGTACAATAGGTGTACTGTAGCTGTCCAATTCATTTCCAGTAGTTGTACAATTTATGTCCAATATTTGTACAATTCATGTTCAATAGGTGTACAATTCATGTCCAATAGTTATTCAATTTATGTCCAATAGTTATACAATTCATGTACAGTAGTTGTACAGTTGATGTACATGATGTACATCCAATGGACATCCAAACTTGTGGCCTCTGGATTCACAATAATGGATGTCCATTGGATAGAAGCTGGACATTTTGAGCCATCCAATGTACATCCAGCATGTCCATGTACGCCTATCCAATGGATATCCATTGAATAGCTTTGTGTTATTAGGGGAGTTCGATCCCTACTTGGGTCACTTTCTTTTATTTTAGAATATGTTTATTGGAATATTCCAGGAACATTCGACATAGAATATTCTTTTTGGTATATTCTATGATTATCTGAGGAATTCCCATTCGCATATCTAGAGAATATTCCACAGATATTCCGGAATATTCCAGATTATTTCTAGAATATTCCAATATTCCAAAAGGAATATGATAGGGAGATTCATGGAATATCTGTTGCTGTCTGGGTTTTGACCTCAGGAATATGTGCTGAGATTTTGTACAAACCTTTTAGGAACACCTTGTATAAACACGGCCATATTTGAAAAAAAAAGTTGATGATATATACAGGGTGTTGCGAAATTCGACCGACAACGCCTGACAGGTGATAGCCCTCGTGATTTCATAATCACTGAGATAGGGACATACGGTCTCCAAGTGTTCAGTTCTCGAGATACAGGGCGTTGAAGTTTAGAAATTGAAATAGGTTTTTCGCAATATCTCAAGAAAAATTGAATATAATGCATTCAAATTCGGTATATGGTTTCATCTTTCATTGGTTCATTTTTTGACCAGAAAGACATCCCAAGAATTTTATCCATAGGTGCGCTACAGAGGGTTGTGATAACTTTTCCTCCCATATTATCTACGCCACTGACAAAATTTCGATTATTTCCAATTTTTCGAATTGATTGTTCAATTATGTTGAACAAATGCATCACGTTCAACTGAGCTTAAATGAACAGTTATCGAGATATTCGACCCAAAATAGAAGTTTGCATAGTAATTTTTCATCTTCCTCGGTAGTAGAAAATAACAAAAATGTTTGTTTTCTCTTTATGCGTGGAATAACTATTTCTGTTCAGCTACAGGATGAGATCTGAATAGTATCTGATCTACTCAACACCAGAAATATATTTTTGCAATTTTCTACTACTGAAAGTAATGAAATATTACTATGCAATCTTCTATTTTGGGTCGAATATCTCGAAAACTATTCATTTCAGCTCAGTTAAAGGTGATACATTTTTTGAACAAAATTGAACAATAAATTCGAGGAATTGGAAATAATCGAAATCTACTCAGTGGCGTAGAAAATATGGGAGGGAAAGTTACCACAACCCCCTGTAGGGCACCACTGGATAAAATGTCCTGAATGGCTTTCTGGTAAAAAAATTACCTATACAAAGATGAAACCATATCCCGAATTTGAATGCATTATATTCAATTATTCTTGAGATATTGCGAAATAACTATTTTTATTTCTCAACTTCAACGCCCTGTATCTCGAGAACTGAACACTTGGAGACCGTATGTCCCTATCTCAGTGATTATGAAATCACGAGGGCTATCACCTGTCAAGCGTTGTCGGTCGAATTTCGCAACACCCTGTATATATATATATATATATATATACGAATACGAAACGTCGCGTAGGGACAAAAATATATCACCACGAATTCCATCAAAAGTTTTCCTGTATGTCCTGTCATGTATAAAAATAAATTGAACTGATTTTCCAAAAATTCACATTTTTTTATATAAATCTGAAAATCTGATGAGAACAATTCCCGTTTCCGAGATCCCCATGCTGTGCAACCTTATCTATCTCTGCTTTGGTCACACTGTCACTGTATATATTTCGGGAACTACGACGGGTGTTTGAAAAAAGTCAATGGGACCTACCTATCGAATTTTAATATTTGATTTGTTTTTCTTGCCCTTGAAAAAATATATTGTCTATGATTTCATCTCTCGCAATTTATTTATTATTCTTCTTGACACCTATTACCCGATATCGCCACCACTTTGCCGTTCAACGAACTGTACCGCTCGTACCTTGAACCGCTGTAATTTTACAGTAATCTTGCTACCGGGTCAATTCGCAAAAGACTTACTAGCGCATAACTCCGCAAAGTGTCGCTATTAGTGCCGTATTTTCAATATTTCCACATTTGTTTGCATTTGAACGTTTTTGCGTCGTTTTCTTGATGTTGCTAATTTGCTACTAGGATAATTTTATTCCAATTCCGACTTTCGTTGTATGAACTATGGTCTCTGGTAGAGTCACTGGATGGTATTAGTTAGATAAGAGTATGGACACAGAAATGACATCTATTGTTAGTGTTTTTGAATGTTCAGATTCATTAAATCCAGTGACTCTCTCTGATAGTTTTTGGCTCTACAGCTACAGGATTGTGAAATAAGTTAGCTTTTAATACTGAGATTGTATTGATTGGGCCTGGTGCTTTAGGTAATGAGGGTAGAAGAATACTTGTGTGTGTGAAATATTCACTTAATTTTGTAAACCTCTTAGATCCTATATATCTTATACCAAGAATAAATGAACCAGGTGTTCCATGGACAAGAAACATTAAATTTTTATCCACAATTGAAACTGGCAAATAAGAACCCCATATATAGGAAAAGCAAGCATGTTGAGTGATTTTCTTGTTTCAGCTACTATATTCATGCAGTTCACTTTTTATATCAATATTGCTAGGAAATGACAAAGAAATGAACAGTATATGAAGTAGCTAGACTAATTATTATCATAATATTTAGGGTATTTACAAAATTTGATTACATTGGCATCCATATAAACAATTAGGCAACTCTAGGATAAATTGGTAGTTGTTTCACAAAACTATCAAGTTTGGTTTCAAATAATTCTGACTTTATTGGGGAACCCAAATCACAAAGTGGGTTTTTTACTACATATTCCAAATAGACCTGAAACAACAAAAAATAAATACCTAATGACAACAGGAGGAAGAAGTTTCCTGCATTATTGATTGTTTACACACTGCAAGCCCACTAAAACTTACTTGACTGTACAACTGATGGAGTATTTCATTGACACCTTCCGAATCAACACTAGTGTTGAGAACAAATTTCAAGCCAGAGGGTGATTCGAAATAGTGCAATTTGTATTTGGAGGTCGTATAACACCGAAAACCTTCCCTACTATCAATAGGAGACATCTTACTAACAAAAGATTTGATAGAGAACAGCATTCCATAAACTAGTTTGGCTTCCTAAAAAAATTCAAACAAAACTATATTGACATTCAATTCCAAAACTCATAGGATGAGCATTAAAATTAGATTTCATCAATCACAATTAGCTATGAATGTGGGAAACTTTCTGATACCATTCTTTACCTCGTCCCTGGTCATTTCACATTGCTTTATTCTGTGCCATTCTTGATAATACAATAAAGTGCCTCTTCTATCGAATATATAGATGTTGTAAATAGTCATGATTACTGAACTGGAATCAATTCATTCAGGAAAAATGATAAATTATGGATAAAAGTCGTTCTTGGGCTTTTATCAGCTGTTTCCAGTTTACCATTTAAAACAGGTTATGTTATTAATTTTGACACGGAACTACAGAACAATGGAATCGCAATCGAGAATGTGTTTCGTGTCAGGTTTCGTGTAGCCTCCCTCTACACAGGGCGTGTTTTTCATTCCATCGAAGAAAGTGCGCACTGATAGATGCGGTTTTTTGTCGTGACGTCACCAATTGTTCTGTTGGAATTTATGCTGGAAGGATTGAACAATGGTTTATACAACACATTGATGGAAACACGGATTTTGTTGTGTGTCAGTCATCATGTATCTTGAGAATCAGAAGAGGTTAATTCGATTTTATTGATTAACACTGACTCTTTCTTCTAAAATCTCTCAAGAATCTCAAAAATCCTCAATATTAATTGTTCTCTATCAAATCAAAACAAAAAACAACACTAAAATGTGTCAACTGTCATGTCAATCTCCTCCAAACTGCTGGATTCTCGAAAAGCGATTTAAAAGTGCGCATTTTATTACAACAGTTTGATGGATGTCCATCAACATTCCAGCGGAATTTTGCAACAGTTTGATGGTTTCTTCGATTCATGCGCATGATAAAATGTTGGAATGAAAAACGCACCCACAACCCAAGGTCTATTAACTTCTATAAGGTTACCTCATAGTATAGCATTATGGTGCGGGGGTGCGCGGAGGGGCGTGACGTCAGTGTTTCCCCACCACGTGATTGTAGATTTCGTTTGTGTCACTGTCAAATGAATTGAAAAAATATTTGAATTTGAATTCGAAAGAATCGCGAATTTTAGACTTTAGTTGAAAACAGGGTGACAAGAAGACTGAAGATATCTTTGAAAGAGTGTGAGAGGTTGTATAATAATATGGTGTAGTATTATTCAAGGCTGGTCACATCATAAATATCATAATATTATTGTGTGGAGTCAAGAGTGGATATAGAACCAACAAATGTTATGAAATGCCTGTTTGGCAGCCTCCACATGAGATTCAGATAATTCCAAAGGAAAATGATGAGCTGTGGCAATGTGAATGTCCCTGTGAAGCAGGCATGTCACGGTTTTGTATACACATTTTATAGGGACTTATATATTGACAGGTAGGAAGGTGCACTTTTGATCTATCACACACACAGGTAAAAAATACATGAAATTTCAGGAATGAAGACTTGGAATATGTGAAGCTGCATATATAACAAAAGAAGTGGTGAAAATTGAAGAAAGAGAGTAGATCAATCAATGATCCATTATACAGCCAAACCATTTCAATAGTTCTGCTACCTGCTTATTAAAAGAAGGAAAGTGACCCCCTAAAATCATTCTTCCTTTATATAATTGAAGTTAACTTTACAGGGTATATCAGTCTATTTTGTTTTTTGTTTGGAAGCCAATGAACTCAATGTAAACAACTAGCTATTGCATATGGTACCCAGGAACACTGGTGAGTTTATTAAATTTTACTTATACTTGATACTTCATTTTTACATGTAGCAAGGAGTCTTGGGAAAAAAGGCAATCAACTTCTTCTTTCCAAAGGATTTTTCAAATAAATTTGTTCAGCATGGAGTAGAATATGAATTCAAAGCTCTTTCAAAATGTTCATTGAAAATGATATTGAATATCAAATCATGCAAACAAATTTGTGTCCCAATATTTTCCATGGTTAGGATTTTCTCAATATGAAATTATTTTTCAGGAAGGAAGACCATGGAAATAATTGAAATAAGTGTCCTTACTGAGGTCCTTACATAGAGGTTTGTTAAATAATGTGTATTACATTCAGCTTGAATTATTTTCTCAAAATTTTAGGTAAAGGTTCAGAACATTTTGTGGAACAATGCCATTTCTTGATAGGAGATGGTATAAAAAATGTGAAGTTGGAAGAGAGACACACTTATTATGGATAAATTCAGTTGGGAATAATGGCCCTAAAATGTCCCTAATGAACTTGAAAGAAACTAATTTTCTTGTATGATTCTTCTTCCTCCAAAACTTACATAAAGATTCCAGTTTTTTTGTGATACATTTTGTGTTAATGTTATGAGGAAGATATCTCAAAGATATTTCCATTATGTTGCACTTTTATTGCATTAATAAAATGGAATGAATTGTGATGACTTCTTTATTAATTCATTTTCTTATTATTGCATTTTCAAACAATATGTTCCAAATTGATACTGAAATATAACCAGTGAGTTAAAATCATTCAATTTATCCAGAAGGATATCCTCTTTAGTTAATTGTTTCTTGTTTCTCAGAAATATGATGGCCTAATCAATTTCAAGATATTTCTTCACATCCCTTGTCAGCATGCCCTTATCCACCATGATTTCATCATTAGGTTCAGACTTCCCAATAACATTTTCTTTATTAAAAAATGCTTTATCAGTAGTTCAACCTCCATATCCTTATTAATACCAACAGTAATCAGTCCTAATGGAGTGGTATTGCAATAAGAATTTGACTGAGTTTCTGTAATGTGTCTGTACAACAGGAGCACTGAGGAACATATCTTTCTAGATTTTTGTCTTCAGTCTTTTGTACTTGCTGCATGTTTTGGGAAAACAGTGAACAATCTCTTGGACACAAAAACATATTGGAAAACTTCAAAATTCATCAATATTCACTTGATTGCACAATGCTAAATTTGTTTGTTTTGTTTTTCACCTCCGCCATTTTCATTTTGCCGTTCGACAAAAGACGATGGGGAAACAGTGACGTCAGGCCAGGTCAATATGAGGCAACCTTATAGAGTTGAATAGCCTTGCCCACAACCACCGCGGCGGTTGGATTGGCAAGGTGATCGACCGTTGGGGGCGCTGTTTCAAAACAAGATGGCGGCAAAGAGTGTGTTGTTTGTTTACAAAATTTCTTGAGATTTGCATACATTTTCTTTTTGATATTTCATTGTGTTATTTGTGTTTATTGTTGAACTTTTACTGAAATCATAATATTTTTTGTTGGATCATAATGTTTCATCGTGATGTGAGGAAAATAACTGTTACCTACTGACTGAATCGTGGACCAAATAGTCTGAGCTTTCTTCAAACCAGTGCATTTCTGTGGGACAGCTTTATGGGATATCAAGAATAACAAGCATATCCACTATCATCAGAAGCTGATATATTCACCATCATAGGTACCTCTATAACTCCACTCTTCAAGCAAAAGGATCCTTCAGACCACAAATGGTGATACCAGAAGTGGAGTTTTTCAACAGTGAACAGCCTTCTGTGAACATATTGAAAACCATCCCTAACAATGTGTTAACCTATACAATAGAAATCAGCAGCAACCAGCTCTAATGAGTCTAAACCAAGAAATAATTCAACACCAAAGGCATCCTGACATTACTGTGGATTTGATAGTAGATACAACCATCAATGGCCTATCTTCAACAATATTACTTCCAGGCTTTGAGGATTGTTTACAGTGCCCATACCCATACCTCATATATTATATTATGGTGCTCCACTGCAATAACAGCAAATTGTCATGATCCTATGTACCATGTGTGTGAATTGTATCCATATAACACACTTTTCATAATGTGAATATTCCTAATATACTCAGAGTTGAGGTAGGTGGCATCCTAGACTGAGTTTTCTTCTTGGAATCCATTTAATACCTTGTAAAGCTAGTTTTTTTACCATATTGATGAAATCATTGGATAATTTGGAATTCCACCACATAAAACATTGATCAAATGACCTATGATTTCAGTTAATGTATTTATGATGATATGCTGCATCATAAATTTTGTGATTTGATATCATTTTGTAATCCTAAATTCATCTAATTGAAAATATCTATCTTATCAATTTGTATAGTTCATTATGTTTGGTATATTTTGGAACTGAATTAATAATAATTTTTGAAAATTAAAGTACATTGACATAACATGATGTGTTTTTCTGTACTTATGCCACTCCAAAGAAGTCCAGAAAGAAGTACCTACAAATAGATGGATCTCCAGTATACTCCTTCCCTCAGTGCTCATGTATACTGTTTTTCCCTGAATTATTTTACAAGATACCTTCATGAAAATTTACAATTATGAATGATTTTGAAATCCAGGACTTTCATATATGTATAAATGAATCAACAATGAGCAAAAGTAAGTATTTACCTGGTAGGTACCTATTTTAAAAGGAATCAGTAAAGATTATGAAGTGCAACTCTGAAATTGCATAAAAAAAGAATGGGGTGTTGATTGAGGTAGTTGTGGAATTGAAATATGAATTCTGAAAAACTACAATAAAACATTACAAAACAGAAAAAAAGTAAAACTTTTACTTATGAATAAATACAGTTTAATAATAACATACAAGCAGTAAAATTATGGATACATCTTTCCAAGATACAATTTGAAATGTCATGGATATGTTCAAGTACCCAAATAATCAGTGATATCTCCTTAAAAACTTGAATTCAACTTCAAGGAATCTAGGTTTTGGTTTCAATTTGTGTAACTATTTGCACTCAATTGTAAGATACCCTGGATGGCAACTCCCCCCTTGCTGAAAAATTTAAGAAATGTTAGTACCTACTATAAACAAACCATATCTATTAGATTGTGGCACTTCAATGTATGTTCAAAGATTCAAATTCCAGCAATTCAAGCTATGAAGTGAGCTACCTACAATGACCTGCTTGTACCAGGGTTATTATATATCTATAAAATATGCTACTGTTTTTGCTCATATGAATGTAATTGGAATTGGGAGCTGTATTTTAACTCAATCATTTTGGAAGCACATGCAATCTGCATTGGCTATTTTACTACAAAGATGATACTACAAAATAGGAATCTATGGAGGCCTAGGCAGGATATCATGAACAAGATTTTTATATGAGTCAAGCATTACAAATAAAACCATAAATTACCCACCTGCACATGTTCATAATGTCTGGTTTCTTGCCCAGCTTTGTGTATTGCAGTTCAAAAGTCAAAGGCATTGAATTTGCTTCTCTAATTTTCTTATAAAAATATTTGAAAGAAAAATAACCATACTTATTTTTCCAAGTCCTGGAGACATTTCCCCATAAACAAAATAGGTATGAACTGTTGATCATTTCAATCATGTTCTCTCTCAGATAGGCACTGCAAATAAGAGTTATCCATCAGTAATAAATATAACAATGAATCACAAATTTACCTTATTGTTATCATTATTGGACCAATAATGAATTGAAGAAAGGTGGGAAGTTTTTGTTGGAGCTGCATACATCCAGTTTTCAAACTCATATTGGATTCTCAACGTTGATCCATTTTTTCCATTCAGCTGAACTGATTTTTCATTATCAGAAAAGACTTCTTGAGTGGAGGAAATTCATATTAGAGGACATATTATAGGTCCTACATCCATTGGAACCTTCTACTAGTTCAACCAGCAACCAAACACAGTTGATTTCGCGTATTATCAGAGATTTGTTGATACTAATTTATAAAATAATATAGAATTGATTAGGCAATTGATATAAAGTTCATGTCTTGTACTCAAGAGACGCAAGAAGAGAAAATTAACGTAATTTGTGCCATTTGTGGAATGTTATTCATAAAATATGAAACCCACTGAACACAATAACAAACATGACCTTGAATTACGTCCTAAACTGGTTCAAATTTGCCCACCAGGTGCCGTATCGGAATCGTCACCTTGCCAATTAACTTGGATACGGCCGTTGGATACTGATTCATAAACAATCGCCGGCGGTTACCTATTTTTATATAGAAGACCGCCGTGAAATATGAGGAAGGAAAATATCGTCGCATGAAAAAAGAGAGTACTTTTTTAAACAAACTAACCTAACTCGCCTTAATAAACTTTCCAGCTGAGAAGTATATTTTTCGAAAAATTACTTGTGAAAAAAATTTGAAAATGTTACTTAGGAATCGCAGTGATTGAACCCAAATCACCGCCGTGATGGTCAGGTACACAGTCAACTGAGCTATAGCTTTGCTCGGAAATACTATCTACAATGAAGAATGAAGAAATATCGTCGTGGTGGTTGTTTATGTATCAGTATCCAACTGACTCGGCGGTCATGTATACAGTTTCTTTCATATATTTGATAATCACAGACAGGAGGATCAACGAGATGCTGGCATCAGTGTCGTAGTACGCATTGTCAAATTCATCTCTTTTTTGTATTTTTTCTAGTTCTAATAACAATTTCGCAATTTCAGGCCTGTTACTTTTTTTCCCAAACAAAGGCTGAAATGACCTATTCAATCCCCAAAGATTGAAGTGGATGGTTGCTTAGTCACTTTATTATACCAAAGGGAAACACTGATATACCTGATCTAGTGAATATCTCAACTGGCCGCGATTCAACCTGATCTGAGTAAATGACCTAATCTCATTTATCGTGTTTTTTTCTTTCATTCGGTTGTCGGAAGTTATCTTCCAAAAAATAAATACTTAGTTTCTAGAAAGGAAGTTTGTTTAGGCCAAGTTAGGCTAGATTGTTCAGAACAAGTAATCCACTTTGATCTCTAGTAATTTTTCGATAATGATTATCGATGTATCAAGGGCGTGAAGTGGGCTTTCTTGGATCGCAGTGTGTAAGTAGGAGACTGTGATAGCGAGTAATATCAACACGCTTAGGTCCATAAAAGCATGTTACGCTCGTAATACATACAACATTTTATGCACGACCGTTTCAGACATTTATTTAATGCCATTATAGAATTTATTAATGATTTCGAATTCATTTTACCAAATTATGTATGCCACTGGCGTAGAAAGATCGAAAGGTAATCTACTAGAAATCATTTGGAAAACAGTGAAAACACTTCATTGCTCGTTCACATACATTACCGCTCGCCGGACAACTTCACTGTCCGTTGTACTCCTTTGTCGCCCCTAGGGCGCTGGAGGATTGCTTTACGCCCACAAATCCGGGCGATGAAGTGCTACTATAGCCTGGTCGTGCATAAATATCTTCAGGATGAATATTCATCCAATCCATGTCCAGTTCGATTGTTCAAGAAAATTAGCCTCTTCTTGTGCGGGGATATCACAGAACTAAAAGTGTTTTAGTTCTGTTGGGGATATCAATTTCGATGCAACGGCGGAAACAAGCAGCGATATACGTGACAGGACATACAGCCTCCTGCCGCGATCGCTTCGTTTCGGAGCACAACGGTACTCTTCCGAAAATGTATTGCCATCATGCCATCTCTACTAATCAGATGATCGAAGTAAATTGAGGTTAGGGCTAGCGGCTAGCGATTGAGGTTAGATTTTTGTTTTGTTGTTCTTTTACTTAAAGTTTTAAATTATGTTTAAACCAACGATTTTAGTGGCATTTTTCGCATTGCAAGCTTTCTGTGATACTAATTTTACAACTATCAATCTACCTGATGAACATATGCAGTATTATTTCCGAAATTTTCCTGAATTGGCACAGCATTGCTCAAATGAGGAAAACTGCAAGTACAAAAACCAATTGAATTCCAGCAAATGTTGGGGCTACGAATTTGACTGCAAATGGGAAGACCAATACTCGATTCCACATTGTCCAGGAGACCACAAGGGTTGGGTAAGCAGCAAATTCGCCCAGAAATCCACATTCCATACCCAAGCTGACTTTGGGTACATCAAACAGCAACTAGGAGAGATGAAGGTACTTTGTGAACCCTTATTTGCCACAGACAGTTCCTTAGAATGCTCTGATCATCTCAGGTTCTGTAGAGGCAGGAATATTATGATGAATTTCAGGTAATTCTAGATTATTTTTCTGGTGTAAATCATTCAACAACATCAAGCAATAGGTAATTGAGAGTCTAATCTTTCTATTGTTTCAAAATTCAGTAAACTGGCTAGTAGAGAAGACCCCATCAGATACAAAATGGATGTACTGGGTGAGGGAGACATAGGGGGCTACTGTGAACTGCACAAAAATGTGCTGGATGAGCAGGCTGATCATATCAGTCCATTGCAAAGCTGGGGCCCTGAGGTGAGGTTTTTCAGCAGGCTGAATCAGAGGCCTATAAGGGAAGGACTCTGTGATGTGGTGGTAGAGGAACCTACTTTTATTGTCAAAATTGATGCTAGTAAGTCAAATCATTGTTCACTTAATAATTCATATAAGTACTTGTGAAGTATTTGTTATTTTGAGTTTTTTTTCACTGATTATCTATTATGGTAAGTACTGGGAACCACTAATTATGTTATTAACATCTTAACAGGACCAACAGGGGAAAATTTGTATATCTGTCCTTCTTTCATCAGTAATGTTTGAGTTAGAGGGCAGTTTCATATTTTCCCAAAAAATATATAGTACATATCTAGGGATGAATTTTATTTTTGCAGCATAGAACAAACATTCAAATAGTATTGTAACCTATAGTTTTCAAACTAAGTATAACTCTTGATATAACCTGTCAAAGATAATAGGTGAGAACACTAATTTATTGAAAAAATAAAAAGAGAGTACTCACATCAGAAGAATTATAATTTGCCTAATAATTCACTATTCAGTAAGATACACAGCATTTCCCTCTCAACCCATTCTTTAGCTTCTAGATATGTCAACATATTATATTGTATACATTCAAATTGAATCCATACATTTGTGTTCCTGCCTATTAGAAACATTCTTGAGTTATGATACACTCTTATTACATCACAACTGGTCCTTTTAGCCCAAAAATTTCAAGAATTCAAACCTGTCTTATTACGTCAGGTGAGTTTAGTAGGTTTGAACCTGTCCAATATTACTTGAGTTTAGTAGGTATGTGAAAAACCCTATTTTTTTACCAATATGCTTCATTTTCAATTGATAATAACAGATTTCAACAATACAAAAACATTTTTTTTTCTTTTTTCTTACCCTAACTAAATTCAATAAATACATACATATACATACTTACACATACATACATACATACATATATACATACAATGTCTACAAATAAATATATTAAATTCAATTAAGTTCAATTAAAACTACTCAAAAAATGTATAAATCTGAATAAATATTTTTAAAGCATTGTTCCAAATCAGCAAAGATTGCTGGTACCAGAACGAAATTATATTTGAAATTCAATGGCTGACAGAAATTAAATAAAATAAATTGCAGAAAATGGCAATGCTGTGTATCTCACTGAATAGTGAATTTCGCCAATAGACCGTCGGCGCTTTATAGTACTTGTGACATCAGTACTGCTGAAGATTTTCCGCCGTATTCTATCAGAAACATTTCAATGGAAAATGATATTGGGAAATCTAGAAGGCATAAAAAATGCGAAAGAATCTCGTCAAGTCAAGATAGGAAATACAAATTGAAATCAAGCTGGTTAGCTGGTTAATTGTCGCTCAAGTTTAGTAGGTGTGAAAAAAAAACGATTCATTCTTGGAAATTCTGGGAAATTCCTTATTTTTTCCCAATTTTTTGAAAATTCGACCGATGAATTGACATATTTCCAGCAGTCAATATGTACCACCATTTCTGCGACTTCCTCAACTTGTACGCCTCGCTACACTTGAATTCTACCCACCCTTCCACTTTCTCCACTGACGTTCGCGTCCTAGTGTGGGAATCATTCACTTACCGCTCGGCCTTCTCCGACACGTGGCAGGCTTTCACCGACCACCCGCTGTGGGACCTGAAGACGGTCGCCGGTCGGACGGTGTGCTTCCGAAACGTCGTGTTGCCGCTGTTGCCGCGCATGATCTTCGGACTGTATTACAACACGCCGATTATCTACGGGTGCGAGAAGAGCGGGTTGTTCGACGCCTTTTCCAAGCATATTTTGCACAGGTGAGGCAAAGATGGAATGGGGTTGCATGGTGTCCAGATTTCAATACATTAATTTTTGATTTTGCTATTTGGGAATTTTTCATAACAAGTATGGGCTAATTCTCAATAGCAAATTCGATCGCTACATAATTCGAAAAATGAGTTATACTTTCATTTCATATAGAGTGCAATTCAATTGATGCCTGAAAATATAGGATACTAGCTTTTACCCGCGGCTTCGCTTTCGTTGGTTTGTAATATTGGCATATTGAATCCGCCATCTTGAATTTCCTAATTTTAACGAAGGAATCATAATCTCCGCATGGAAGAATAACAATCTCCGACCCCGAAAACCCCCACATACCAATTTTGAATAGAATCGAATCATAATTAGGAATCTCGTCCGACATATTGGTTCCGCCAGTATATGTACAGCAAGAGCACGGGACCAATTTGGACAGTTTTCCCATGTTAATTCCCATAAGAAAATTTAAGGTCAAAAATAGCAAAAATGGCTCTTTTTTTCATATACAGCCAGAGCATGGAGGCTCAATTCAGTTTCCCCATCTCAATCTCCATAAGAAAATCTAAGGTCGAAAAAATAGCAAAAATGGCTCTTTTTTCAAGGTCACCGCAGTTGACCATGTTGGTAGGAGTACAGAACGGGTGAACATTCATAGGGAGGGAAGACAGGTTGGAAAAATAATGAGTACTGATACATGATAATATTTATTATTCGTTAGTGTAAATATATATATAAACAAAATAATTCTAGAGATATCACCATCAATTTATGAGCCATATTCCACAACATCATCATCGATTGAATAGTGTCCCCATGGTAACGTTTCATCAGTTCCAGGAATTATATATCTCTTATCATCATTCGGACTGAGAGCAATCTTCTTTTGTATGATAGAATAAACTTGATGTTTATCTGATTTGATCAAATTCTGAGTGACAGTTTTTTCCTTCCAATTATCCAAACACTCAACATAATCAGTGAAGGTTATTGATGTCTTCACAACAGACGACTTCACACCCTTAGCCTTTTTCGTTATACCAAAATTCCTCAGAATATCATCAATTTCAAAATCATCATATCCTTCATGCATCAGTTCTTCTCGTTTACTCATAATGTCATCAATCGTAGTTAGAATTCTTGTTGAGTAGAGTTTCGATCTCAGACCAACGTAGTCGATCATCGGTACTCCGTTTTGCTCATCTTTCAACATTCCCAGCACTTTCTTATTGACTTGAGGAATATTATAAATGTTATTCGATTTATAGTCGGAGGTATCGAAGCGCTGATGACAGTCCTTCTTCATAACCTCATATGGATCTTGACCAACAATCTCATAAATCAAGCTGTCAGTATCAGTATAGAGAACTGAGCAATCACGAAATGTGTTGGTCATGTAGTCGTAGTGAAAGTCATATAATGTTGTCTTAGCTAAATCTAAAATAGCTTGACCAACATAAATGGGTTTGTTAAGATAGATTTCCAGTTTTTTCATTTCTATAGCAATCAAATTTTCATTGAAGACTATACAATTCTTGAACTCGGGTTTTGAAATGTACGCCTCAGCACCATATCTTCCCACCCACTCTGTCAAAAGTCTGACATTAACTCTCTTCCTAATGTTTTCCATTGTCTTACCAAAAACAGCGTTGTTCATGAGCTTGAACAAATTCTTCTCAAACACATTTTTTGCTTGTTTTCGGAGTTCAGTGTTTAGGTCTATGTATGATCTTAACCACGTAGCTTGCTGGAACTTGAGAACTCGATGTATCTGTTTCAGCACTAAACCATGTTTCAACGCCTGTTTCAGGGCTCGGTAGTGAATGACATACTTCTCCTTGTAGCGTAGGGTCGCCATCAATTTGGTGTGTTCTCGTACAGATTTGGGAGGCTTTCCAGTCTTAGGATTGATGTGTTGAGGACAAAATGGAATATCTTTATGTACATCGTGGAGGTGTAGTGGATAATACAAATCGACTTCTAAAATATATCCTTCTTCTGCATCATCGGGAATAGCCGTGACGTCGATATTGGTGTCAGTCCATTCAAAACCTCCATATGGTAAAGCTTGAGACATAGCCCATCCGTATTGGTTATTGACGTCATAGTACATCAAGAAGGAATCGGCTTTCGAAGGATCATAATCAGGAATATATTTATTGTTTGCATGAGCTCTTCTTTTTGAACAAACTTGACTGAGACCTCCTCGGATGCCTTGCTCAACAAACAAAAACATGTCAGGGTCAGTGATAAGTTCCAACTCCTGATTCGTATATTTCAACATGGCATCCCAAGTGAATCCTGGCAGGGTGTAATAGTGTGTGGGGTCAAGATTGTAAGTTCTGAGGCAGCTGGTACGAAACTGTTCAAATACGTCTGCGAGAAGGAGAATATCAGTCATCATGTATAGATCCACGTACTGACCCAAGTCTCGACAATTGAACTCATTCCACACAAGATTTGCACGAAGATAGAGTCTGCGAGGGCAGGCCTTATCGTCTAATTTATTATAAAAAGCATCAATTGGAGGTAGCCGGGTTTCGCTGAAACGCTCAAACGAGTCGAAGTAATCATATGGCATCACACCTTTCTTAGTTAGAAGATAAAGTTGATCTTCGGCGACGCTACAGAATTGAGACCTTAGATTGGGGAATTCGGTTAAATAAGATGCTAACTTGTCCAGAGAGGAATTCATAAAACGGAAGCTGTCGATGAATCTGAACTGAACACAAGTTCCGTCAACATGTTTAGTGAAGGAAATGTACTTCTCCTTCGTTATGGGCAGTAAGTCGATAGTTCCTTTCATTTTAGTGGCAATGTCAGCTATTACAAAATTTGCATCGTAACCACTCAAATTATGGAATACAACAGGCACCACAGGACTGTCCTTATAATTTATATTACAAGAATCGTGAGCAGCTCCTCTATAATTTTTTTCTGGAACTAGGTGATTATGGTCCCTTACTCTCACATCATCAAGTCCAAATTTCTGCTCACAAATGTGACAATGTGTGGCATTTCGAAAATCTGCTTCTTGTTCTGAAGTCATATGAATATCATAAGGACAACAGAATACGGTAGTTATATCTTCTGCCAACTGCTTCATCTCATAGGCGAACCAATCCATGCAGTCTTCTCCTCGATAGGAACGATAAAAGGATAAAGAATTGTCATAAGAACACTTGAGGTAATATCCAACAGAAGCAGGAATATGATGCTGGGGCTTCTGGGGGTCTCCTGTTCGCTCTAAAACAGATTCGAGATCAGCGTAAACAATGAAAGCCACTTTCTCTTTATTTTTGTGGTTTTTGAATTTTAAAATATTTGTTCCCTCTTTAGGCATTTTGATAGCACTTTCATTCATTTTTATACACATTTCAATGTGATTATCTAGTTTAGCTTGAGACCTAAAGTAGTGCAAGCAGCGGTCGCAAAAATATTTACGTCCATTTTCTTTGCTCAGTTGAGTTGAAAGGAGCCTAGACATGTCTTTAATCCAAACGTAATGGTGTCTACTTGGAGCGGTGTTCTCATGTCCTGCTTTATTGGAATGATCATGAATCAGTAGCAGGTTGACGTGCTTTTCTTTTTTATCTCTTGTAAGGTAGGTCGGTAGAGTAATCAGCTCCTTTTTATTTTGCTTCAGTATATAAACATTGATTGACATTCCATTCTGCCGCTCGAACAGGGGTATTTGATTGACTGTCATCGGGAACTGAATACCTTTCAGATTAAGAATGGTAGATGGGTGAGGATAGGAAGAAGTTCTATCGTTATGTACTTCGACTGGATACAAAGCTGAGATGACTGCCCAAGAAAAACATGCATTATCATCATTTTTAACGTTGATGCAAGCTTGTTTTTGCTTGATTTGCGGGGGTAACTCAATGTATGAGGATCCAAGTTGGGGAGTGAACTTGTTTATGTTCACACCTAGATTGATGATGCTCTTCAATGCCCATCCGCTGTCACGCTCCTGGAACTCCTCTAACTCCTTCATAATAGGATCAATCACTTTCTCATTGAACCACTTGTTAATGTCTGTATTCCTATAGATGGGTGAGTTAGGAGTAGTGAAGTATTTGTAATCAGTCTGTATGAGATCTCCTTTAGTGATCTCAAATTCTCCGCAGAACACAGCGTTAACTTTAACTGCTTCATCTTTTTTAAGTGCATTCTGAATACGTATCCGGAAAAGAGCTTTACAATCAGCCATGAATGCTTCAGGGTCCTTATGTTTCAAATTGGAGATAACTCCAGTTCTGATGCGAGACTGAAACGCAGATTCTGAATCATTCCAACGAACTCTATCTCGTGCAGTTTCTTTTCTGGAAGATAACCCAGCTCCCCTCTTCTGAATTGCTTTGAACTGGTTTCGGAAGGTTTTCATATTTCTAAGGCAAGCCTCCAGATGCTGCTTCTCGCCCAAGTTTTTTGAGTACCGCAAGGCATTATTTAGTCGCTTTATTCCCTTCTGACATTCTTGAAGTCCTTCTCTCACGCGATTTACATCATAGGAAGATGTTTGGAGACCAAGAAGAGCAGCAATGTGACGTATCAAATCGATAAACAGACCAGTCTTCACCATTTTGAGGTTCGTCTTCACAGTACAAATATCTGCAAGGGAATTGAAAAATTGCAGAGTGTGCAGTATAAATACACTTGAGGTCGGACGGAAGACTAAACGCTATCATGAAATGTTGCGAAAGGCCCTCTTGAAATCGAAATTTTTGTCTGTTTCACACCGAATGACTTCACAACCACAAATTAATTATATCTTTATTCAACCCCAGAGAAATAAGCTATTGCGAAATGAAACAGTAATTCAGAGCTGTATATAGGACCCATGGAATTTGGAGGCGCGACACATACACCTGCGGTAGATTTCTCGAAGGAAATACGGTTCTTTGATAGCCTACAGGCAACATTTTCCCCTGAACATGTTATATGAAACAAACGAACAACACTATTTATACCTGACTTTACAATAGTGACAACC